TGTATTACATATTACAATAAGAAATCATAATTATCACCAAAATTTAATTAGTGATTTGAGACAAATCGGCCCATATGTGAAACACCTATCCCATGTGATAAGAAATTATGGTTTTTATTGGTTGTGATTTGTGTAACATATTTATTTAGATCAGCAAAAAACTGGAATACAGGAATATGAAGAAAGAGCATGTCCAAAGTTATTTATCTTTTGTTAAGGAAAAACCGAAGCACCCTTATGATTTTCATATTTTTCTTGCTATTAAAAGTCAAATAAATCTGAACAAAAAGTATGAGACAATAGTTTTAGAAATTTCTTTGTTCTTTTCAAGGGAAGTTCAAGACGTAGAAAAGAATGAAAAGAAAGAGGAAAGTATTAAACATATAAATAATACTCGTATTATAATTTATATCCTTTATGTGATGAATATTTGATTGTATGGAGGACCGAAGGAATACACTGCCTTTATGGCCCCTCTTTCTAGAGGATGTATAAATTCGAACTTCTCATTTCTTTAAGAACCCACCTGAAGGACTTGAAGAAATATAACTACCTTTATGGCCCTCTCTTCTAGAGGATATATTGATTCATATTGTCTTATTTTTATGGGAACCCTCCTTAATAAGTTTGGTGTCTGATAGAATTTAAAACTTTAATTAATGATAAATGCATCGTATAAAATTAATTTGCTATTTTGTTTCTTTATTAGGCGGATCTTAAAGTTTTTAAGCAATATTTATATGAAGCAAAGAAAGAACATAAATATGTTCAATACGGATTGCATGTAGTAGACTGTGCGCGCGCGTTGGGTTTGAATGATCTTATTCAAAAAGACGTTTATGACCATATGCTGGAACATCAAGCTAAGCATAACATACATAAAGTAAATATTTTTTTGACTACAGTTTCCAAATAATATAGATTTTCAAATTAATTTTTTATTTTAAACTAGTTGCAATTTGAACAGAATGTGAACGAAATTGTAAAAATTCTTAGCAGAGAGATTTGGAATTTAAATTTAAAACCAAATGATTTAATTCTTTCGGGGATCCTAGATACTGAAGAAATTAGAGAAAGAAATCCTGAATTTTTGCGTATGTTGCATGATGAAAATATGTCAAATATTTTTGAAGAAATGATTCCAAGATTATCATTGCCGGGAAAACTATCAAGTTTTATTAGGAAGTACCTTAGTGGAAAAGAGATGAGAATCCCCGATAAATATAGATCCTTATATACTTCAACAAGAACCTTTATTGATTCAATGTAAGTTATATATTTGATATTCTGTAAGGAATAGCTAACTTACTAGGTTATATAGGTGTCACAATGAAAAGTCCAGAAATCTTACTAAATAAAATTTCAAGTTTTTCTTTTTTTTTTACTCACATTATCACCTATGTGATATATTTAACATATGGTACAAATTGATCTAATATAGATGTATTATACTTTTTTAAGTCGTAGTATATGGAAAAAAAGGGAATATCAAAACAACTCACCAAGAATCAATGAATCTACCTGGTCACATTGTGCAATTGATGCAATAATGAAGTTTATTGAGGCTGATATGGAGGAGGTTCTTTTTATTCGATGGTAATTGTATAATATAACATCGTATATGTTTTACATCAAATTGCATTTTATAAATAAATTTGTTTAGGGATCATGCTGTAAGTCATACATCTGCCAATAGAAATAATGCTGATGGCGATGGGCCTATCAAGAAAGCTGATGTATTTGGCACTTACTACTGCGAAAATTTACGATATAATGTTGAACTATTTTTCGGAGAAATTTCTGGGCCTCCTTTTTATTTGAATAGTTCTGGAAAATCTCATGCCATTGAAAACCAAATCAAGTTGGGAAAATGTGGAAAAGACTCACTTGAAGACTTTCGTAGATATTGCAGAAAAACCAAGGAACTTGTTGAGTTTAAAAACATTAATGTTTTTTTGATGCACGCTCATGGTTAGTAAATTTGTATTGTCTAGATTGTTTTTCTTTAATAGTTAGTAATGATTATTGTAATTTCAGAAACAATTATTAAATTTTCAATTATGGATCAAAAATTGTATCCATTATTTCAAATAAGAACTTTGGAGAAAGTCGCATTTCCTTACAAATGTAATTCAACATTTGCACAGGTGCAATCATTAATTGAGATCATGTACACATATAAAATGTTAATTAAAAGCGATCTAGAAATTTTAAATTCATTGGATAAGAAATTTTACAGGATAGATAAAGACAGTGAGGAAAGCAATTGCAAGAATGATGATAGTTGTAGCGATGAAGAGGAAAGTTGTGGTGGAGAGGAAGAAGAGACTGAAGATGAATATCATAATAAATCTGAAGAGATTAGTAGTGATGAAGAAGAGGATAGTGCGAAAGGAAATAGCAGTGATGAGGAAGAGGAAGGTGAAAAAAGCGATAGCAGCGAAGTAATAGTCAAGCCAATTAAAACATATAATACACCATAAATAGCAGTAAATTTAGTATGGCAATTAGTAGCTGGCCGTAAAAATTAATCGTAGTATCTCATTGTGATACCAACCAATTGTACAAGATTTCTTAATAGAAATAATAAATGAGCTTTTAAGGAATTGATTTGTCATTTCAGAATTAAGAGCTGTTTCTAAAGGAAATGATATAAAAAAACGTGATAAATTATAAATATGCGAAAGGTTTGTATCGGATTGATTTTACTTGTTATAAAAATTAATATGCTTTGTTTTTTCACATGATAAAAATTTACGATTTTAATTTGCTAAACCACAAGCAAAGTATAAAAAACTAGAACTAGAATAACGAAAAAATCACTATAAAATAAAAATCACTACCAAATCAACAAATGTACTCATATAAGAGTTACCCGAATAACTCATGTAGCATTTATTATACTATTGCTACCCAATTAATTTCTACAAATATTAAAACATGAATTTGAATCAAAAATGTAAATCCTATCAAAATTCACTTATACTCTTCATTATCAAAACTACCCTAAGCCCTAACCTAACTATTAAAACGCACCCGTGACGCTATCGTTCAGAAATCGTGATACTAAGCTTAAAATTCTGAGATCATGTGATCGACGATCCTTCCGGACTACTACGTACCTTCCGAACTCGTGATATAGTATCCTAGCCATGGCGAAAAAAATTCTCAGATCACGTGCCGTAGATCAATTTTTATGGATTTCTATTGGACGCCATATCG